TATATATATATATATATATAATTCTTCAGCCTTAAAAAAATCCATGAAAATGATTTTGGTGCCATTAAATGTTGAATGAAAGTTTTTGTAGTTATGGATAGCTGTGATTGTTTGGGATGACTGTGTAGGAAGAAGATGACACTTAACAAAAACTATAGAGAAGAAAATGATGAGGGGTATGTAGGTAAGTCCAAGTATAGTTACCTGATCTCCTAAGACACCTGCATACCTTACTAATGAAAATGTTTCCAAAAGGATATTCAGTCCCAGAGAAAACCAGGCATACATTTAGCCCATTTTCAAGTAATTCATTTTTCTTCAGAGGAACTCAGGAGCAAAAGTCCAAAACTTATCTGTGGTTTGCCACATCCCACAACATTTTGTTTACTTTTATTTTAAATTTTTAAATGCATTCCAGGATTCTGCCTTCCCTTTGATAAATGAAGTATCAAACATAACATAAGGTCTTTATAACATAAAGACCTTAAGACACTAAGTGACTCCCTTTGTGGGGCTTGATTTCTTTTTCAGGGAATGATGTACCTGGAAGAAAGACGGCTTGTTCATCGGGATCTGGCAGCTCGTAATGTCTTAGTAAAATCCCCAAATCATGTGAAAATCACAGATTTTGGACTAGCCAGACTCTTGGAAGGAGATGAAAAGGAATACAACGCTGATGGTGGCAAGGTAGGGGAAGTTGGGAGCAACATTTCTTAAAAATGTAGTAAGATAATTCTTTGTCTCTAGTAACAACTGTGTAATGATTCTTGGGGTCTCAGAACATGAACCTTTAACACAGGCCATAAACATTTTCCCATTTATCCCAAGACTATAGAACTATTACACAATGACAGTGTCTTGTGTCCTGAGATGCTTAGGAACTACCAACAATCATAATTCATCTAGAAGCTGGCCATTCTCATTTCTAATCTTCTTAGAACCCAAAATGATACCTTGCAACTACAGAGTATAATTGCTTTGATTTCACTTATATCATAGTGAATGATTTGCCTACATTGCTTATCACTTGGCTGTGCAACAAAATACAGGCTAAGCTACTAATATTGAAGAAGGTTGAATCCAGTTAGATCTTTAGCTACCTTTTCCAACCCTCCAACTCATGTTCTGCCTGACAACTGTGTTTCTGCATGTCACCCTCACCATATGGTTTTACCATATCTTAATTATAAGTCTTTTTTGCTGAATAATCTGCATTCTTAGCTAATTAATTAGGGAAATTTGTATGTGAAGATCCATCTTTCTTGGACTGAAGAAACCTCTGTTAGAGCAGGCCAATGACACAAACCCATGAACTCATAACCCCTAGTGACCTATGAAGCTAACATAAAAAGGTTATTTACATATATGAATCCGTTAATTATATATATTGCTTTTTTAACCATAAATAAATACTTGCAATAATAGGCTTCTAAGTACCTTGCATTGATTCACTCTAGGCTTCTAGCATAATTGTCCATATTCAAATCCTGCCACAAAGTAAGATAACAAAATTTTATAAAATACAAAGATTTCATTTTTGAGAAATTATCTGACCTTTCCCTGATCTTATCAGCTTATTTTATCTGTCTACTACCAAACTACGGTGGTTTGAAACAACAGCTCTGAAATTCTCAGCAACATTTCTCAAAAATAGCAGTCTATAAATCACATGACTTCACCTGTCTTAAGAACATACAACTGTAAGGTTTGTCTAAAGCAAGATTCATTATAGTTTTAGTGCCTGGTCACCATTAAGTCTTTATCAAGCCACCTATGATTTAAACTTACTTCTATAACACCATGTCCATAGTCCATAAAGCCGGCTAACTCCTTGCCCATAGGGAAATTACTTTCAATGTGTCTTCTGTTCCTTTTCACTGAACCCCATGATTCTGTCATAGAGTTACCTTGGTGTCACCTTGGTGAGCAGCCAACCTCATGATTTCCAATGTCTATTTAGTTTTAAGCTTTCAACTGCAAAGTAGAAATGTTTATCTTTATTCCATAGAATCTAATTATATCCCAAGCTACTTAATGCTGCCCTTTGAGTTGAAACACATTCTGCTGACCCATCATTCGCAGAGTATGTGGGTTGAGTGTTTTTCTTGTAGTGATGATGGATTTGTGCTGATCCTCTCACATTCTTTTATATTCCTTTTTCCTATTTTGAAAACGGTACATATTTTCAATTCTGGCTAGCCCAGGCAAGGGAGATCATTTGCGGCTGGGGAACAAAGCAAAGCTAACTATGGAATTCATGATTTTAGACTATTTAGTGACCAGAAGAGGAAGTGGGGGCAACTGAAGAAAAAATCCATTATATCTGTGTGGTCAAAATATATCTGAGGGAGAAATGGGATCACTGAAAATGGAGGAATCTCATTTCTGAGAAAACATAATATAGAAACATTTTTACATTTGATATTGTCAGTCATAATAATAACTCATAATTTAGATACTACACATTAAAAATATATAAAGCTGTTGAGATATCTATTCTTTTCATTGTTTATGGCCATAACCCTTTGAAATATATCCTTTGGTTAATTTACTTCATAGATTTTATAAATTTCAATTTATTGGTTCCCTATCTTGAAAAACAACTAGTTTCTAGCTGTGGAAACACCACCAAAAATATAATGAGGTCAGTCCAGAGACTAGCATTTAGAAAATATAAAAATGATTTCTTGTGTGAGTTTTAATAATTCACTTTTTATTCTTCTATAGATGCCAATTAAATGGATGGCCCTGGAATGTATACATTATAGGAAATTCACTCATCAAAGTGATGTTTGGAGCTATGGTAAATAAATCTTTATAAATTTGATCTTTTATATATAGTATTGGAAGCATTTACTTATAGGCTTGACTCCTTAAAAAATTAAATCTTTGGTGTTTAATTTAAAAAGCTAAACATACCAAACCACAATTTTATCTATCTTTTTGAGATTTTTTCTGCTCTCCTAATGTAAAATATATGTCACTGCTTAATTTTCTGCTATAAGCTCTGGTTTGATACAATTTGTCTGATTAATCTATTTATTCTTACATAAACAGAAAAACTGGCTACTGTTAGAAACAATTTCTTAGAATCTTATGACCTTAATTTTCAACAACTCTTTGGTCATTTAACTTTGAAAGTGATCAGTGTGAAAGGGTAAAGCAAAAGAAAACCATATTTTTGTTTGTCTGATTTTTGGTTAAAAGAATATATGTTCTAGAGTAGAAAACATGGTTATTGTGGCAACAGGGAGCAACTAATGAACACAGAAAAGTAATTGTGAAAGTGTGATAAGAGAACACTGCTAACTGTGGATTTGATTTTCATTTACAAACTCTTTTTAGAATGACAGAAAGGTTAAATGAATGATAGGCAAGAGGGGTTAATATTTGTGATTAGAACATTTTTTCTTTACATTGAACTCAGTTGTTGAAGTGAGCTAGTTAGCAACTTGTCTGCACTTACAACTTCGTACACTTACAACATAACCAGAAGGGATCGATGTTTTGTCTAAATTTATATATACCACTTGAAACTAGTGTTAATTGGTAATAAAACCACAATGTCTCTAGGCCTGTAAGATGACTCTGAAGGTAAAGGAGCTTACTCCCAAGCCTTATGGTATGCGTTCTATCCCCAGAACCCATATGATGGAAGGAGAACACAAAGTCTTTCAAGTTGTCCTTGGATTTCTACCTATCTCCTGGGGCATGTGCAGACCCCCAAATACACACACACAATAAATAAATTTAATTAAAAAGAAAAAGAAAAACAATGCAATCCCTAGTGTGATGGCTAGTGTTAAATTTCAGCCTGATAGTGTCCAGAATCACCCTGGATATTTGCTCCAGGGAATCACTATGACTGTGGGATATTGTCTTGAACATATTCCTGCATTGAGACAGGAAGACCTACCCACTGTGGGTGAAATCATTCTCTAGGCAAGAGATCCTATACAATATAAAGTGAACAAAGTGAGCTGAGTTAATGTTCGTGCATTCATATCTTCTTGTTTCCTGATTGTGGATGTGATGGGACCAACTGCTTCAAGCTCCTGCTGTCTTGACATTTTCACTATGAGAAATTATTCCCTGAACTGTGGGTAAAAATAACTCCCTTCCCCATAAGTTTCTTTATTCAGAGCATTTTATCAAAGAAACACGAAATGAAACCAAGACAGTAACTGGTACCAAGAAATGGAGCTTTGGTTGTAATAAACCTGACCTCATGCTTCTTAGGCTCTTGAAACTGTCTGTTGTTATTTGGTTTGGTTTCTTGTGTGGAGGAGAGTGGAAGAGTTTGGAAATTTAGGCCAAAAAGTCCTTGAAGGCTCTAAGAAGAGATTGATAGGCTATTCTGGTAGGAGTCTGGAAGACAGCAATGACAAGAAAACCGTAAATGGTGGAAGCCTGCGCCAAGGCTGCTGCAAAAGGGAACAACAAATGAGAGAGAAGCCATTCGTGTGGTGTTTTGACCAAGAATCTGTCTTTATTCTGCCTGTTGTCTGAGAAATGGAGTGAAGTTCAACTGAGAGATGACAGACTGCTCTATTTGGCAGAGAAAATTGTAGGACAGAGGAACATTCAGGCTGTTACTGTTATCCTTAAAGATCAGGGTACCAATGAAGAAAAGACACCTGCACATCATTAGAACAATGGGAAGGGTGTCCTGAGAGTGAAACCACACTCATCAGAGATGCCAACTTGAGAGGATCCAAATTTATTTCAAGGAAGAAAGCCTAAAGTGTGTGTGTGTGGGGGGGGGTGTCCCTGTTCCTTAAAAACATCTGCTTAGGAAAGTTTCTTCAGGGTCACCACACAGAAGTGGATGAAGCTGTGGTCCATTAGGCCCAAACCCTATCTCAAACTGGTGAAAGAACATGGCAGTGTCACCTGTAGGCTATGGTTTTAAAGGCATGAAGGAGACAAAATTGAGGGAGTCATGGAGAACAGCCAAGGCACAGAGATTTATGGCAGAGTTAGAATTCCAGAGAGGCCCTTGTGTGAAGCTGTGAAGGTAAAGCCTCAACTGCTGGGGAGACTGGTATATCTGAGATGGCAGGACCATGGGACATGCACAAGTATGGGATGCAGACATGGAACAGAACCAGATAATCTGTGTATGCTGAAGTCGGCAGAACTGAAACTGTGAGGGGTGGTGCTACTCAAGCCTTTTGAAACCCAGTTGATTGATTACATTATCAGATCCAGATGCCAGACATGGAGTTTCAGGATGCAGTGTTTGCCCTGCTGGATTTTTGGTTTGCTTTGGTATAGTTTTTGGTTTTCTTTGTTTGTTTATTTAGTTTTCATGCTGTGCTCCAATTCTTCCATTTTGAATTAGACAAATTTACTCTGTGCCATTATTATATGTTGGAAGTATACATATTTTTTTAAAAGAAGAGCTCACAGTCTCACAGTTAAGAAACTTTGGACTTTTAAAGTTTTGGAATTGTTGAAGACCATCGGGAGTTTAAGGTTGAACTGCATACATTTTACTTTATAAAATCATCAGGAGGATACAGGACCAAAGAGTGAAAAGTTACAGCTTAAAACAGATGTGTTCTGGTTTCAAATTGACAAAGGGTAGAGTTGTGATGGTTAGTGTTTCTAATCAACTTACAGAACGTAGAATTGTCTGGAACTGAACCTCTGGGATAGCTATGGCAATTATCTCCAGAGTGGGGCCTTTCCCTAGACAGGGTCTTTTGGACTGCATGAAGTGAAGAAGGCAAGCCAAGGACTACTGTGCATACATTAATCTCTCTGTGTCTCCAAAGTGGGAATATGGTGTAGCCAGCTGCTTCCAGCTCCTGCTGCCTTGACTTTGCTACCATAATGGACTGTTCCTTAAACTGTGAGGTGAAATAAACCCTTTTCCCCTTATGTTGCTTAAGTAAAAATACATTATCGCACCATACTACAGTCACAGACCTAGAGAGGCTGGGTAACAAGGAGGGCCCAAGGAATGAATGCGTGGAGCTCCCCAGGAAGGGGAAATGAGGAGATCTCCTGGGTGTACTCGGCAGGGGATGGGAACCTGAGGGATCCAGTTGGGGGTGGGTGGAGAAGGTGGGTGCTGAGAGAGATGACTGGAAATGGGGCGTTTATGTTTGGTGGAAGCCTTATGCCTACAAGGATGACTCCTGGAAGTAGTGGATGCAGAGAGCCTGATTGGCCATCCCCCGCCCGTGACCAGATTGCTGATCATCAGGAGAGCCTTCATCCAGTAACTGAGGGAGGCAGACTCACAGACCCAAAGCCAACACTGGATCAAGCTTTGGAGTCCTGCTGAGGAGAGGGAGGAGGGATTGCAGAAAACAGAATTCAGAAACATCGCTGGAAAACCCACAGACACCACTAACCTAGCTCATGTGAAGGCACAAAGTCTGAACCATCAAGGAACCCTACATGGGACCAACCTAGGCCCTCTGCATTTATGTGACTGTTTTATGTAGCTTTGTCTATATGACTCCTGGCAATGGGAAGAGAAGCTATCCTTGGTGCTTTGGCTGGCTCTTGGGAACATATTCCTCATGATGGCTTACCTTGCCCACCCTGATATGCCCTGCTTTGTGGATGCTCACAGGAGGCCTGCCCCCTTCTGAGTGAAAATGGAGGAGGGGTGGTTTGAGGGGGGTCAGAAGGGAGAAGAATGGAGTAGGAGGAGAGGGGAGAGGGGCTGCTGCAATTGGGATGTAAAATAAATAAATAAAAATTAAAAATATATTATCAGCCGGGCATTGGTGGCGCACACCTTTAATCCCAGCACTCGGGAGGCAGAGGCAGGCAGATCTCTGTGAGTTCGAGGCCAGCCTGGTCTCCAGAGCGAGTGCCAGGATAGGCTCCAAAGCTACACAGAGAAACCCTGTCTCGAAAAACCAAATAAATAAATAAATAAACAAGTAAATAAATAAATAAAAATATATTATCACACAACTAGAAGAGAAACTATGATAGTTAAAGGTGATCATAAAATCTAAAAACACAGCACAATTTATTTTAATTAATTATGTCTTAGTTCTGCCTTTTTTGCATCCATCCATATAAATATGTAATTTTTATGTTTTTTTTTTATTTTGGAAACAATCTTATTTGACATATCAATCTTCCCAAGCTCCCCACCGACCCCACCCACCCACTCCCCAAGGATAGTGAGGCCCTTCATGGGGGGACATCAAAGGTCATCACATCATTTGGGGGAGGGCCTATAAAAATATTTAACTCATTTAATAACTATAGAACTTACAACACTTACCTAGGAATGGATATATAGAGAGAGGGGGGAGAGAGGGGGAGAAAGAGAGAGAGAGCTAAGACATTTCAACACAAATTTCCCCTTATCTATGTCATAAATGGTGTTAAATTTTCCAAAAAGGTCACATAGATTATAATTTGGAAGGAAGAAATGTGTGTTGATGGTTTAGACAAATGCAAGACAAATGTTTAACCAAGCTTAGTTATTAAACAACTTTAAACAATCATTAAAAAAGCAAATATAACACATGTATATAATAGACTCACATGTGCTCATGTATGCTAGCATTTATATAAGTATTACAGAGGTAGATTAGCATAAGTATGTGATAGTGAGAATTTGTATCACATATTATTACAGGTTAATATTTTATTTTAACTACATACCAAGATACATATATGCTTTTCTTTCCCTTTTTGTACTTGTGTTTCATTAAATCTAAAGTGGTAAATCTGGCAAGTTGTTCATGAACTCAAAACAAACAAACAAACAAACAAACAAATGTTGAAAATGTCATGCTTTTAATACTACAATTTGACTTTTAGAGAATTCTTGTGACTCTGGCTATCACAGTTTTATTCGTGATGAGTTCAAACTTCCGAAGGCTGTTCAGCACACATTAACAGATACACAGTGCTGTTTTGTGTTACAACCTCTGTCTCAACATATTTTCACACGGCATCTTCAGATTATTATGGCATGCCAGAGTTGATTGCAAGAGACATAGGTGGCAGAGATTGCTACAAATCCTTGTTTATAATATGTTTAAGATGAAAATTATCACCGGCTTGCATTTTTCATACCCACAGATTATGCATCAGTTGTGATATAGCTTAAAGGTGATGAAATTGCAACATGTGTCCTTGCGTTTCTCCTATAGTCTGCCCGATATTTCTCTTTATACCCAAAGTCATCTCCCTTAGCATTAATTGGGTGCCCACTTTGGAAAGATTTAATTACATTATCAGTAGCAGAAATTTGGGCATTTAGTTTTGTACTTATTGGCATTATATCTACAAATTTTTGGTTTGTTTTTCGAGGCAGGGTTTCCTTGTGTAGCTTTGGAGCCTGTCCTTGAACTAGCTCTTGTAGACCAGGTTGGTCTTGAACTCACAAAGATCTGCCTGCCTCTGCCTCCTGAGTGCTGGCATTAAAGGAATGTGCCACCACTGCCTAGCTATATTTACATAATATTTTTATATTTTAATATGTAAGGGGTTTTAAGATTTTGTTTATTTTGGAGATTTGAAAATACCTATGTTGTCTTTAGTAATAGCAAACATGAGTTCAATATAATGTTTCTTTTGTGCACAAGTCCTGAGTGCATAGGAATGTATGTATGTGTGTGTGTTTGTTTGTATGTATATACACCATACTGTGGTTGACTTACTTAAAAAGAGTGACCACCATTTTGTTTGCCTTCCATTGAAGTGTAAACAATGACTTTCTTGAGCAAGTAGCTCTTGATATAAAAAATAAGAATCTAGGAAACATTCATCTGCTGTATGTGACAATAAAAATTATGGGATGTAAATATTAACAAAATAATCCAATCGGTGTTAATGATTCTATTCCAAAAGGTGGTTTGAAGTTTACACATATCTATATTGTTTTCAGGAAGTGGTGACTGACATACCAGTTTAAATAAATAAGCATTACAGAGATATTGAGAAAACATAGTCGCAATTAATGGTTTTTATAATAAAATAAACCCATGTATGCATCAATCAAGACTCATATTGTAACACTACCATGCTTACATAGCTATTTCTATTTTAAAAGTATTGTGGCCTAAGGATAAGCCTCAGTGATAGGGAATTTACCTATTATAGTAAAGAAGTAATCTTTAGTATATGGCTGTTTTTGTTCTTGGGATTGTCTTTTATTTTATTTTATTTGTCAGTCAGTGCTCTAGTGGTTGAAAAAATCATATCATTAGCTTAGAAATAAGCTGCTCATTGTTTTCATCATTTCTCATTTCAAAAAAATACACATTCTTGTATATTCTGTCTTCCATATGGCTTGATCCTCATGCAGACTCCTGTCCGTGCTAAATAAATTTTTATTCTACTTGATTTTTTGTGTGTTGGCTGAACAGTGAGCTACAAGCTTTGTTGTAACAACAGACAGACACCTTTAGCATTCTGCAACTACCAGCTCAGCCTTTGATGCTTTTCCCAAAAAAGGCTAATTTAAAAATTTATCCATGTCAGGCTTTTCCTGACATCATATTTATTAGATATTGAACATGTGCATACAGTGAAGGAATTGTATCTTGAATTTTAATGTACATGAAACAATTTTCATCAGTAGGCATTGTCATGTAGGTACAAATGGGGTACTTGTTTTAATTTCTGGTATTGGTTCTAAATTTTTCCTGTTATGCATTAAAAATTCCAAGACAAGTAAGAGACAGTAAGAGAATTCTTACTTGAATTGTCCCAGGAGGGTTTAGCATTGGAATTGTTGAAGTGAGTGAGCAAATATGAAGGAGTTTCCTTTAAATTTCTATTGTTTGCTTTCAAAGAGTAATTTTATTTGTTTTCATTCAAAATTGTAATGGTAATTTGCTTACATGTGGATTTTATTTCCAATTAGGAGTCACAATATGGGAACTGATGACCTTTGGAGGAAAACCCTATGATGGAATTCCAACCCGAGAAATCCCTGATTTATTAGAGAAAGGAGAGCGTTTGCCTCAACCTCCCATCTGCACTATTGACGTTTACATGGTCATGGTCAAATGTAAGACTGGAAAATAATTTTACTACCTGAACCATCATTCTTAATAAAATAACAGTTGAGATGGTTTTGCCTGCAAAATATTTCTCTGCATTGAAAAACAGCATTGAGAATATTTACGAATGCAGAATATAAATGTCTGTTTGTTGTGATTATTATTATGAAATAATAGCATGCTTCCAAGCTACGAAGTAAAGAATATGTAGTTCTTACTCCTCTAATTTTCATAATTGCTCTGCCTATAAGAGGTTGTCATAAAGAGAGATAATTATTCATAAGAATGATGGTAATAACATTAATGTTAATCATTATGGGAAAATATCTAAACATCACTAGTAGTCTAAAACTAAATTATTGGATATAGATTTAATCATAAATAAATTAGCAGAGCAGGTTGGGAATCAGAAGAGGTGAATCTTCATTGAAGTAAAGATTATAATGTTTACTTTTTTCAATTTGATCATTTGTTTATATCAAATGTTCTTACTTTTCTCTCCATACCCCAGACACATATGTATTATAAATGTGTTTCAGAGGCCCAGACTCTTAATTTTAATAGAATTAAATAAGTCTCTGGGGTTTCTGACTTAATTTAAGTGAGATTAACAGGCAGCCATTTCTCTTGTATAATCTCAGGTTTTCCAGTTTTGATTTACATAGGGTTAAAGAAAGACACAGACTGGTGAAGGTGAATAAGCATTTTATTAATAAGAGACTCAGAGACGCTGGGCCCAGGTCTTCTCATATTTATATTCATGACATGTGTGATCCATTCTGACAGGAAGGGAAGGAATAAAAAATGTTCCTTGCAGTGCAGGTCAGCATGCCCTTTTCTCTAAGCACAGTCCTATTTACTCAATATTTAGTTAGAGAGAAACAAATATCTCACTGTGAAGTTAACCTTTTTTGGCTCCAGTAGCTTTGTCATTAGCATCTTGGCATTAACGAGCGTTTTTGGAAATGAATACCCATAAGATGCAGAGTGTTTGAGCCTAGGAGAGGCGACACAAAGGATGCATAAGATGATACCCAAAGGGTTTCCAGAACAAGATCAAAAATTAACTCTTTAGAAATAGAAAAAAAAAAAAGATCCCTAGCTGTATTAGATCAGACCTTGTTTACTCAATGTCCTGAAGAGAATTTAAAAGCCATTCATATCTTGTCTGATAATTTGATACCATAACCAGCATCAGCTGTGATTTGAGTACCACAATGTGATGGTGGAAAGACAGGCAAGCATTTTGCCTCATTAGGCAACACGTATTGAGAGTTTTACTGTTTGGTTTTCCCTTTCCCCTGGAGGGTTCATGCTTTAGAAAGGGATCATTTGGCAACACAATCAAAGAAAGCTTGGTGCTGTTATTCCTGTCATCTCATCAGCCAAACAGAGGCAGTTAAGATCCCTTTTTCTCTAAACTCCCAGCTAAAGAATACCCCCTACCTTGAAAACTGGTATTTTTATTCTGGGAGAGCTAATATTAAGATAAGCTAATAGGTGCTGCTGAACACACATTGCAAATCATTTTGTATTTTTCTTCCACCAGGAACAAACAAACTGGCAAAGGGCTTTCAATTCCCCATTTCAACCTTTTGTATCACGGTACTATAATGACAACCAAATATTTTCTACCATGTATTCTTGACACAAAACTTCACGTTCCATCTCAATTATCTTGTCTGTAACCATCAAAGGGTGTTTTTAAAACATTATCTCCACACTCCAAAACAAGAACAACCAGAAGCTGCGATTCCAGAATTGCCCATAGTTAGCTCGGGATCTATTTTCAAGGACAAGAATTCATTTGAATAGGATCAATAGAATGAAAATTGGGGTTTTGTAGAGAAGGTTCGGCAGTTAAGAGCTTGTGTGGTGGCTCTTGCACAGGACTCAAGTTTGGATTTCAGCGGCCAAGTCAGGCAGCTAACAACCAGCTCCAGGTTGATCCAATACCCTTTACTGGGTACCTGCACACATGTGAACATACTTAGACATAAACACATACTTAAAACTAAACTGTGTTTTTTTTAAATCTTGCCTTTATTTTTATAGTATATTGCATTCCATTGATGAATGTCACTTTCTTGAGTTACAGCCTTAGCTAATTGTCTGCTTTGTTCACCAATTTTCTTTCACTGAATTTTTTGCTGGTTATTATTAAAACAATATCTTTTGCATTTTGTCTGTATTTTTCAAAATTTCAATGTCACTTTCTCCAAGTATGGATACACTAATATTTCTCTCTGCATCAATTGCCAGGTTGGATGATCGATGCTGACAGCAGGCCTAAATTCAAGGAACTGGCTGCTGAGTTTTCAAGGATGGCTAGAGACCCTCAAAGATACCTAGTTATTCAGGTTAGTCATTTTGACTGTGCTGGAAACATTCAATAATCAAGTGACAATGTGAACAACCTATGAATTGGTAGATCTGAATATGGTTCTATTAACTGAGACAAGGCAGGCTCAAAAAGGCAAATACTACATGCTCTCTCTCATATGCATATCATATATATATGTATATATATATACATATATATATATATATATATATATAAGAGGTCTTAAGGGAAAGGTAATGGGGACAAGAAGGTAATAGAATACATATAACATAGAAGTAGAAAGACTACTTGGAAAAGGAAGGGCATGAACACGCAGGTGAGAGGAGTGAAAAACAATGGTAAACAAAGGCAAAGTATGAATAAAAATGCCATAACAATGCTATTAATTCATATGCCAATTTTAGAAGTATAGATGGATTGTTTTATTGGAGGGAGTATATAGTGTTCAAGCAATAACTCAATACAAATGAATTGATGCCTATTTAAATTAAACAACAGACCAAAAGAACATTTTTTATTCAACACTAGGAATCAAACAGATTGGATCATTTAATTAATGTAGTAATTTCTTTGTCATTATTTTCACCTAAAGCCTATACAGTTATACCTTGAGCACTCGGGATTATCATTCTTCACTGAAAGGAACCTTTACCTTCAAGTAGACTAGCATGAAGGCAAAAGCCAGACTTTAGAAAATAATGAGTTTTAGTCATTTTCCCCACAAATTAACTTCTATAAAATAAAATTGTTTGCCAAATATCACAAACTTTTGGAAAAGCTAAGAATATTTAAGAAATGATAAGTTGAACAAAGTTTAGCAAGTGTTTTATATCTCTTCCAAACTCATATATTATCTATGTCACTGTACTAGGATTTCTGCATGCCCCCAATTTGACAATAATGCCATTATACTATAAGACAAGCCATGTGTCTGTACCCTGACTCTGGAGCATCAGTGTTATCATATTAAATAAAAACTGATGTCAACTGCCTCTTATTCTCTATTCTTAACTCATGCACCTCCTTAACAGTGAACTGTTATTCTCAGATCTGAAGTGGATTTTGCCACCCTTGAAACATGAACATCACCTGTCCTCATTCTTTTTTCTTTTGTTGTTGATTTGCCACATTCTTCTTGTATTCCGTTTCCTACATTTTAATATCTAACCATAATATGGGATTCTTTTCATCTGGTAGTTAAGCCAAAGATGTTTTGCAATGAGCAAATGGATTCTCCAGCTGCTTATTTTTCTTTTCTATAAACTTACTATTGAAACTACATGTTGTAAGGAAAGAATAATGATTTGTGCATATCTTATGGGCAATCTTTCAGGGTGATGATCGGATGAAGCTTCCAAGTCCAAATGACAGCAAATTCTTCCAGAATCTCTTGGATGAAGAAGATTTGGAAGACATGATGGATGCTGAGGAATACTTGGTCCCCCAGGCTTTCAACATCCCTCCTCCTATCTACACATCCAGAGCAAGAATTGACTCCAATAGGGTAAGAAGTAATTAGACACAAGTACTGTGTTATTTCTGAGAAATAAATTTGTATACATTGACTGAAAGCATAAAAATTTTCAAGTAACTATACAGCATACTATTGCAATTTCAATGTCAAAAGAACACTGTACCCACAGAGGATATGCCAAGCTCACTATAGATAACTTTGGAAGTTAAGCATGAACAATAAAATGTATATCCTAAGATATCACCATTTCAAAGGAAATAATCTTATCCATCTTAAATTAAACAAATTTTAATTGCTAAGAACCACACTAATGAGACTTCCTACAGTAATGAAAATACTTACCAACTAGGTTTTTACTTTGTTTAAAATATTTCAGTATGTCATGATAATCAATACTACCACAAGTTTTTCACTCATTGAAGAAACATTCACTTTTCTGCCAAATGAAATACAAACACTGAAAAGTGTGTGTTTTTAGCCCACAGTTGATCATATTTGGAAGCCCCATGAATCTTTGCCAAGACATTGACTTATGTTTTAGCAGACACTTCTGAAAAGAATTTACAGTTCAAATATTAAATCCACTGTACTCAAGTCTCAGTTTTTCACTAAGTGCTGTCAGCCCATCTGTTTATTTGCAAAGATTCACTTGTCAGGAGTGGAGAGATGGCACTTACAAATGTGTACTGCTATTGCAGAAAAGTTCCAATCCCAGAATCCATGTCAAGCAGATGAAATCCCCAGCTCTTGGGGACCTAGCACCCTCTTCCAGTCTCTACGGGCAGCTGCAATTATGTGTAAACATACACATATACATTCATTTTAAATAAAATGAATCTTATTTAAATAGTGTTATTTAAAAAAAAAATCACTTGTCCACTCAACATGTGAGTGCCTCTGCACCTGAGATGTTAACACACATTAGAGAGTCAAAGAATTTCTATGTAACTTGTGATTTCAAAAAAAAAATATCCAGGTACCTTGCTGGCAAGATAGTGAAATCAATCTAGATGCCCATCAAGAGATGAATGGATAATGAAAATGTGATGCATATAAAAACTGGAAAATTAATCAGCTTGAAAGAAAAATAAAATCACTAAATCTTCAGGAAAATGATGCACCTGAAAATTATACTATTAAAATTATAATATTAAATGAGTAATGAAGCTAAGAAAGAAAAAAAAAAGAAAATAGGAAAAACCAGTATGTTTTCTCTTACATGTGGATCCTAGCTTATAATGTATACATGTATGTGTTAAAGATACGCAAGTGTGAGAATAGGATAAAATCTGGACACAAAATCAAGGTGATAAGGAAGGACAGGGTATTGGAAAAAGGACAGCTTGTCATTAAAGAGCTGCAACATGAGTTTTTCCTAGCTTCAAGTCTCTTATAGTCGTCTTCTCCTCCTCCTCCTCCTCCTCCTTCTTCTTCCTGTCTCTCTCTCTCTCTCTCTCTCTCTCTCTCTCTCTCTCTCTCTCTCTCTCTCTGTGTGTGTGTGTGTGTGTGTGTGTCTGTCTGTCTGCCTGTCTGTCTGTCAAACAGTCCTTACTGTCCTGGAACTCACTCTATAGATGAGAGTGGCCTTGAACTCACAGAAATCCACCTACCTCTGCTTCCCAAGTTCTGGGATTAAAGGTGTGTGCCACCACCACCCAGCATTTTCTTCTTCTTTTTTTTTTTGTGAATTCAACTTTCTGGGTATTGAAGTAACAAGAACCATAAATACATAAATGGCTAAATAAATAAATTGATCACAAAAGTGTAAAACCCTAAATGAAGCAGTAAAGACTTCAGAATGGCCATTCTAACTATAGAGCAGCCAACTGATATGTCTGGAGTCTGGAACTGGCCTAGTGTCTGAGTAGGTTCCTTAGACCAGTTGTGTGTTTTTTGCTTGTGAGTTAATTAGAAGTACATGAGTTTATTAAATTTTTAATGTGTCTGGGGTAATGGAAGAGCTACAAAGTCATAGACTCAGCATACAGCTTGGCAAGTGCTAAGTAAACTATTTCTTGGCCATTAGTGGGTGTGGAGATATAATGGGTTTAGCTCTACACTCAGGGTCTTCCATTTATAAGATATAAACATAATTCTTGATTGTTTTCTAGGAAGCAACTTTCCCCCTTAGTGCCTCCATATCAAAACATTGTCAAAATAGTAGAACAACTTTATTTCAGACTGACAGTAATAATGAAATAAGACCTAGAGTTTGCTATTCAACACCTGTATGTCCCAGATGAGCCCCCAAATGTTGTGCCCGAGTCATAAGAATCCCCAAAGAGACCAGGGAGACAGACCACCGATGCAAATGCACCAGGTTTATTAAATTGCCCATCCTACACCAGGAGGGCCCCTGTCTAGCAAGATGATACGGCAGTCTCCAGAGGGGGTGAAGTTCCCTGTCTACTGTTGGTTTTAAAGACAAAAGTTACAGGATTGCATCAGTAGGTACAGGTTTTTCTGATTGGTTGACATTTGGGAACAATCAGAAAAATTTCTCAAAGTCATATTTTGTCATGAAATACCTATGCACCAGGTATCCTCATTGGTCAGTGATGAGAGGGAATATTCTGTGGTTTCTATGGCTTTGTCTTGTTACTTGCAGGTGGCCTGTTGTTCATAGATACCAATAGTTTTCAGAACTGTATCCAGGAGACTATAGGGGAGGTTTTGGTCTCCCCTGGAGTATTTTTTTTTTTTTTTGTGGCCAAACAGTTCCCAAGTACCTAGGAGGCTGGGGGGAGGGGGGCATTTGGAGTTTAGTTTTGGCCCTAGACTCCAGGATGCCAGAGGATCTGGAGTTTCATTGTATTACAGGCCTATGTGTCTTTTCTGTAGCCTGTTATGGCTTCTAAAGCAGAGGCTGAGTGAAGGTCTGGTCCCTTCATTCCTAGAAGTGAAGCTTTTTAGTTTAGTTTACCCCTTTCACTTAGTTCCATGACTACCCAATGATGTGAATTTATTATTATTATTATGTCTTACAAACAAGAAATCTGTCACAAAGAAGTGAGGTGATTAGAATGGTGTCCCAGGCCTAGCCAGCAGATCAGAGTTCCTAGGCAGGCCTTCTGTCTCTACTACAATGTGCCTTGTCTTTAAAGATCCACGTTTATTTCCATGATATGTTAATCTTGGCATCAACCTCAGTGTCCAGGACTTATCATTAAATTTCCCTAGTAATTACTCATAAAATGCAACTCATCTGGCCTACATTTTTCAAACATCTCCCTCCATTTGAAAGATTTGATTCATAAAGACAAGGTGAAGCCAGACTAGTAATCACACCTATAGTCTCAGCACTGGGGAGACTGAGGCAAGAGGATTTTGTGAATTCAATGCCAATCAAGGAGAGTAGTGATTCAAATCCCTGCCTGGATAAATAGTGAGATCCTGTCTCAAAAAGTAAACAAAGGCAAAACAAAAATCATTATGAAGGAGGGAAAGGTGGGGGAGAGGTAGGAGGGAAGGAGGGAGCAAACATCGAAACCTCAGTTTACTTTTCTAAAAAAAAAAATGTAATTCTAACCCAAACTGAAGATTTTTCTCATGGTCCCAGTAGGAGCTGGTAACTAATGATTAAATATTTAATCAATAAACCATGCATGGTGGAGCATGCCTTTAATCCTAGCATTTGGGAGGCAGAGGCAGGTGGAGCTGTGAGTTCCAGGTCACCTGGTCCATACAGCAAATTCCAGGACAGCCAAGGCTACACAAGGAACTGTCTTTTTATAAAAAAAAATTAATTAATAAATAAACAAACAAACAAATTCTATTTCATAGAGAGATGTACATCTCAGTCTCTATGGAAGATAGCAAAGTCCATAGGGATAAGATTGGGGCAAGTGGGGTACAGAACTAATAGAGAATTCTCAATAGAGGAATCTAAAATGCCTGAAAGACACATAAGAAAGTGTTCAACATTCTTAGTCATCAAGGAAATGCAAATCAAAACAACGCCGAGATGCCATCTTACTCCTATCAGAATGGCTAAAATCAAAAACACCAATGACAGTTTATGCTGGAGAGGATGTGGAGAAAGGAGAACACTTCTCCACTGCTGGTGGTAGTGCCAACTTGTACAGCCACTGTGGAAATCAGTATGGCAACTCCTCAAGAAAATGGGAACGAGTCTACCACAAGATCCAACAATTCCACTCCCAGGCATACACCCAAAAGAAGCACATTCATATAACAAGGACATCTGTTCAACCATGTTCATAGCAGCACTATCTGTAATAGCCAGAAACTGGAAGCAGCCTAGCTGCCACTCAACCGAAGAATGGATAGAGAAAATGTTGTACATTTAACAATGGAGTACTACTCAGTGGAAAAAAAAAATGGAATCTTGAAATTTGCAGGAAAATGGCTGGAACTCACTCGAAGAAACCATTCTGAGCGAGGTAACCCAATCACAAAAAGATAAACATGATATGTACTCACTCATATGTGGATTTTAGACATAGACTAAAGGATTACCAGCCTACAATCCACACTACCAGAGAAACTAGTAAACAAGGAGGAAACTAAGAGAGACAAACATTGTCCCGTGGAGAAGGGGAAAGGGTTACGATCCCCTGAGCAAATTGAGAGCATGGGAAGAGGGGGGAGGTAGCTATGAGAATGAGAAGGGAAGAAGAGGAAGGATGCAGAGGTCATGAGGGAGCAGAAAGGTTGAGTCAGGTGTAGATTAGAAGAAAGGACATGTGATAGGTATGGTTTTAGTTGGGGGAGTGGTCGGAGAGGAAGGGAGGGAGAAGGGAACTGGGATTGTCATGTAATTCAATCTTGTTTCTAATTCAAATAAGTAAAAAATAATAACCTCCCCCCCCCAAAAAAAAACGACAGGGGCAAGACCTGTTGAAAACTTGCTTTCCCCAGAAAATACTGTGTTGTGGGCTAGTCCTAACAGCACAGCCACTTGTTTTTTAATTGTATTTTATTACTTAAGTTGTGCTTTGTGCGCATGCAGGAGTCCATTATCTGACAGCCTGGGTAGTGAGGATTGAACAACTTGTCAGTACGTTACT